ATAGCCTTTTCTTCTTTTTCTTTAGGTCACGAGCAGTTGTCTAAGCATTTTACTGCATATCGTACTGTGTATGACTGTGTATGTGACAAATAAAATTTGAATTTGAATTTGATCTACTATTACCTCCAAGTATCACACGGCACAGTGTTTTATTATAGGCTTACATTTCTCTGCCTTTTGTTGTCACATCTACCTTATGCTCACTTTTAAAAAACATAAATGAAAAATGTTTTTAAATAAAAGAATTATTGTGAAATTTGACTCAGTGTGTAAAATCATAGTCTCTGTGGTTCCTCCAGAAGCCTTAGTCCTGCTGTAATTTTCTTTTGGTGTTTTTTTTTTGGGAGTTTTTCGAGGTTACAATTACAACCTTAACATTAATGCATTCTCGCTGCCTTGGAGTGGGAAGAAATGTAATGAATAATGCATGATGGGATAAAGGTAGTCTGTTTCCTTCTGGGGCATCGTGAACTTCATTATTTATATACTGCTGCCTCAACCTCTCCGTACTCGATGTTCCAGTGAGTGACAGGAAGCCGTGACTTTGCAGCCTTGACACCGACTGCCGCCATCTAGCAGTGACAAGCAAAAGGCAACATCTGTCCACATCTCTCCCCGCTGGCTGTCCTGAGAAGTCAGGTCAAAAGAGTTTCTGTTAGAGAGACAGTAATTATAGATGTGCATTAAAGCAGTTTGACAGAGTTTAGTTTTTTGCAACATCTCTTTGTGAGTCAGGAGTGAAGGTGACAGCGCCTGGGGCTCCCCCTCTGCTGTGCTCGGAGATAAGTTTTGCAAATACTTTAATTCTTTCCTACTGAGCTGCTGAGTTCTTGCCAGTTTATGCAAGAAGAAGGCCTCTTGGGTCATCATTTAACCCAATTTTTGGCTGTGCAAAGTACAGTTTGAGTAACACTGGTTATTCTGAGACCATGATAATCGCAAAGTGGCTCAAGGCTGATATGAAAACAGATAATGATCATGACAAAGACATGTGTGAGCAGCGTGGCAGGACTGTGTGAGCTCAGGTGTGACTGGAGAACATTTGCAATTGCTAAAGTCATGCAATATAGTTTTTATCCACTAGAGGGAGACATTCAACTGGATATACAATCTCTCCAGTGCTTAGCACATATCCCCATCACAAACATCAATGACATACTCAGTGTACATAAATGGGCTGGGCTGGTGCTACCCCATGCCCATTACTGG